GAGACCATTGAGGACCGCGCGATTATGGGTACTACATAGTACACCATCATTGCGACTGCTTGCAAATGCTTGCATGGTTAGTCGATATGAGAAAGCCTTGCATCCGCACGGTTTTATATTACGACACGCACACGACGCCTAACCGGTTTTTGGTGTTGGAAAAGTTATGGGTTGGATACCTGAGGGACTATGAGTGTTTGTTTTCGTATGAGTGATCAAACTTTTTTGCTTTGACGTGGTGTAACGCATGGTTAGAAGGATACATCGTGGTCGACCGACGATGAGTCGCACTTGGGACTTCAACCCCCCGAGTGCGTCGGCTTGCGTACGGGTCCGATAGAGGCCTGGAATTGCGCGTACCCCCTATGCTACAGCGTACGAGAAAACACCCTTGGCTGGTCCACCTCTGTGATTACAAGTAAACGCCTTCGTACTGTGGACTGGTAGCTCGGCGGGGATACGCCCACCTAAGGAATGGTGACAGCTCCCGCAGGTGGAGATAAGTTGTACCTCGTGTGACCCTGTCCTGTCGTAGGGGTTCGCGAGAGGTATGGTTGATGCACTCGGCCGGAGCGGCAACGCTCTACGACTAAAATCTTGCCGAATCCTGTGTGACGCGGCCGGGAAGGTCCCCTCTCTTGCGGGGATCGTGCGCTCGACAACGTTGACCGTGACTCGGGAGAAAGACCACAATTTACCACAATTTGTGAAGTTGTGAGCCGTATATTTTGGGCTTCAAAGACGATTATCTTTTATCTAATTGAAATATTATTTGGCTTTCTTGAGTGAGCCGATTCAAACTTCACTCAAGGTCAGTAGACTGACTCAGATTCCTTTCATATGTGTGTGAACTCACACTTTGCTTAACCCTGTTGTTTTGAATGTTAAAAAAAAAAGGTAGAAAAAAGTTGTGCGAGTCATGCATGTGAATGAAAATGTTTGACTTGAGTATATGGGATTGTACTAGTTTTCTCTTGAACTTGTTGTCTTTGCGTGTTGCGCAAAGTAGGTAGAAGGATGTCGTAAAGGACAAGTTTGCTTGTGTCTACACGAGACGCTGAAGAATATTGTCGTATTTCTACCTTTCAACTATCTGTTTGTTAAAATGACTTGTAGTTTTGAAAAACATTAATTCATTGTGTGTCGTAAAATAAATGCGCTTGAAATAAAGCAGATAAGGTCAAATAAATTTAGTATTTTCTCATAATTGACCCTTTTTATCTCGAATGGCCTTATCTACCTTTACCTGTCCAAATGGTTTTCATTCTCTATCTCTTCTAAGTCTTTTCGACTGAGTTATCTTAGGCAAGGCGGAATAAGAACAACTAAAAATATATTTGCGGTGAAGACGTTTTCTCTTTCAAGGAAGCATCTGGGGCGGGGATTCGTTGCTTTAAGAGCCGACCATGTTATCGACCAAGAGAAGACCGTTCTACGGGGGGGTACTTTGCCGATTCGGTGGAGACGACCCCACTTATGAGATTCGAGTCTTTTGCTCGGGCGAGGAGGAGGAGTACCCCATACCCCTTTCTAGCGGGAGAGACATGTAACACTTCAAGCAATGCACCTGATTGAAAATTATCCGCAAAGCAGTTTGTCATCCACGAAAGATTGGAAGAGTATGGAGACAGGTGTGCATGTCTAATCTTAGGTCGGCAGTATGTTGGAATTAATGACTTTGGCAGCGCGTCTCATCAAGTCAAAACTAAGACGGTCACCGTTCAACTACCTTGTTGGCGGCATCAATGTTATTATGAGTAGCCAACTCCTCGTTGACATTTGTATGATTGTTTTGTGGTGTTCGACCTGAAATGGTTAGATTGTATTTCGATCTTGTGTGATTGGATATATGAGATGATGATTTGAATTTTTTCGGTTATCATTGCAGATTGGGTATGCGTTCTATCAACTATGATCGATTCCTTTTGATGTACTTATGTAAGGATGTTATAATTTCTTTTTGGTTTTGTGTCTTAGGGATTATGATAAATATTTGGGTTTCACACTTGGTTGAGACCGTCCTAGTCGACCGATGTTCGCTTTGTACTTAAGAGATCGACGCCCTAAGGGACGGATGACGCTTGGGTTCACTTGGCGTTTAACCAAGCGTATTTATACTACAACGAACGAGCAAACGCCCTCGACTGACCTACCTCTGCAATTGCATATAAAAACTTTCGCATGTGGGTCAGTAGCTCGGTAGGGATACGCCCCTAAGGGTGGTGACAACCCCTTAGGGAAGGCTAGATGTGCCCCGCGAGAACCTATCCTGTTGTAGGGGACCGCGGGATGTACAACTGACATAGAGCGACGAAGGGACGACGTGACCGCACCGATCTTGGCGACTCGCGGGATACTTTGCGTCGTTTCCGAGTTGTCTCTCGTTGTTGTTTTGTGTAATCATGCGTGACATGACGGGGAGGGCTCCCACGCTTTGCAAAAAAGGAGGAAGCCGATTCGCACGACAACGAGCACACGACAATTTGGTTTTCCTTGTTTAAAAGTTATATTGGTGGAACGATAGGATTTCAGATACAAGGGTTAGCGTGTTGTTGGTGGTGCGTCAAACAATTTACTTTCATTCCAAGTTCCCTCCTACCCCAGTATCATCCTACCCTACCTTTTTTGAGGCACAAAAGGGTGCAAGATGGCAGGGTCCTCAGTCTACCTCTATGCTAAACTAAAAATTGACCCTTTAGCGCGCGCGTCAGCCGACACTAGAGCGTTGAATGCAATCCCACGATTTAAAGGGGATCGCATGTTTATGGGCACTACATAGTATTCCATCATCACGACTGCTGACGTATTCGTGCATGACTAGTCATTATAATAGAGACATGTGAAGTGACGATTATTTATGTGAAGTCTTGTATGCGACATCTTTTAGCATAAGTATGGAAATAGTTCTGGGTCGAGCGAAAAAGGGGACTAGGTGCAATATTGCACATAGGAATGAGTTTCTTTTGAAAAATGTATCGTGTGGTTAGTAAAGTGGACCCACCAGGTGTGGTGCTTCGCTAGTGACAGAGATGGAGATGGAGGAAGAAGGGGGGGAGCGAGATGGCACAACGCAGCTCCCCACGCAAAACTCCAACGAACGTACTCCAAAATGTGCAAGTGAAGAATGAGACTGAAAACAGACAATGGTTGGGGTATACCCCAGTGGACTGACGGAACTGGACTGGATTGGCTGGTACCGACAGAGGTACGGGCCTTGACTGGCCTACCCCGAATACAACACAGGCCTGTGAGAACAGGCCAAGGGGCTGGTCTCACAGGCCAACCCGAGGTCCGCTACACGATCCTCGGCCTGTGATGGATCGCCTATATACAAACATGCTTCCGCCAAGAAGCGGAACTCTACCAAAGAAAAGAAAACCTGAGTAGTCTAGGATGCGGAGCAAGCTCCATGTTGAGTCCATGCGATGCAACCTAGGATATAAAATGTCACAAAACAGCAATGTCACAGCTAACATCCTAAGTGAAAGCAGAAGCAACTAACTAACATACATATCATAGGAAAGCAAAAGCAACTAACTAGCATACATGTCCTAGGAAAGCAGAAAGTAGTGACAACTAGATCCTAGAATGTTGGAGGCACTAGCCTCAGTCTGGTAACAACTGACTAGTGTATAAGTCCTAAGAACAGCAAAAGCAGAACAGCTAAATCGTAGAAATGTCGGAGGCATTAGCCTCAGTCTGAGAGCAACAAAGCAATCAACAAGACCACCATATGTCACATGAGAAGTGTGTCGCAAACCAAAGGGTGGGGTGGTCTCTGAGGGTGGCGAATGCAGCCTAGGGGTCGAAAACTCCTAAGGGCATCCACACATAGTGACAGGGGAAAACACATGTCATCAGGCTCAATGAGGGTAGGGAACTGGGAGTGAATAGAACCAATGACCCTAACAGATAGACCATCAGGGCGGTAATGCTCGACTAAGGGGTGACCGCTATGGAGGGTCGACAATGCAAGGGAACAAGGGAGCCTGGTATACTGGGCGCACCTAGATGAAGCATGTGGGGCTGCCTAACTAGGGCGTGAGGGCCGGCGAAGGGTAGAAAGATGATGGGTAAGGGAATCATGCAAATGACTCCTTAAGTGAAGGAAGTCGGAGCTAGATCCGTAAGGTGGGAAGTCAGCGCAACGGTACGGTCCCAATGCCTATGCGTATACCAAGGGAGATCCCAACTCAAAGGAACCCGGCTAAAGGGAGACCATCATGCGACACAAGCAGGGTACTGTACAGGGTAAAGTGGTCAGAGAGTGGCGACGTCTGAAGTAGGCAGAGCTGATTGTGACGAAGTCCATGAAGCTACCTATGACGTCCACGATGAGAAGTCCGGAATGCCGTCGAGGAAGAGCCGCAGCGTCGATGAGCTGAAGTAGTAAAACTGATGTGGATGGAGTACTGAGAAGTCAAAGACGTGGAAGGTAAGTCAGAGTCAATCGTCGTATCGAGCAGGACGACGACGAGTGCGCTGTGGACACTCAGAAGCATCCGGCTGCTGCTGAAGGTCTGCCTCAGATGGAGCAGGCTCGACTTCAGCGGTCTCCTCAGCCGAAGGAGAAGGAGGAGGGTCAGTTGGCTGAGGAGGAGCAGTGAACCCAGCCCGACGAGCACGGTCATAGGCACGCACCAACATGCAAGCGTGCTGCAAGTGCTCGAGGGGCTCCCAGGTAGCCTCCTCATCAGGGTAACCCTTCCAACGTACAAGATACTCGACGTGGGGAGGGTTGTCGTCGGTGACTCGACGACCAATGATGTCTGAAACGAGGAACTCCTCGTGGTCGTCCACCATGATGGGTGGAGGGCGCTCATATGGTCGTCCGGCGAAACGCTCAGACGGTCTGCGGTAAGGACGCAGTAACGAGACGTGGCAGACATCGTGCACACGAGCCTGGTGTAGGTAGTCGGGCAGCTTCACACGGAAGCTGACCGGGCTAGAAGCCGTATCAGAACCGACGGCCTGGAGGATGCGGCATGGACCAAAGAAGTGATGCTGAAACTTGCGAAGCGTATCCGCTTCGAGCTGTCAGTGGCGGGCGTCGATAAGCACATCATCACCGACTTTGAATGAATGATTCATCCTCGATCGATTCGCACGTGCTGCCACGCGAGTCTGGGAAGCGACTATGTGCTCATGTGCGGTCTTCATGATCGACGTCATGTGTGCAACCCAATCATCTAGCGCGGGACAACTCGTGTCGGGGTGCATCTGTGACGGTCGAAGGAAGTCCGCGGCAACACGAGGGTGATAGCCGAGGTCGCAATAGTAAGGCGACATCCCCGTGGCTGGCGAGAAGGCGTGGTTGTAGGCCATCTCCACGTGGGCAAGATGGAGGTCCCACTGCTGGTCGTCACGAACAATCTTTCGGAGAATATCCTTGAGAGTCCTGTTAGTGATCTCGGTCTGACCATCAGTCTGAGGATGGTAAGACGAGGAGAAGCGGAGCTGAGTGCCGTATACCTCGTGGAGCCGTCGCCACAATCGGCTGGTAAAGCGCGGGTCACAGTCAGATATGATGCTAAGAGGTAAGCCGTGGTCGCGCACGACTCGGTCAAACACGATGTCGGCGACCTCACGTGCATTGATAGCATAGCGGCACGGAACAAAGCGTGCACGCTTCGTGAAGCGGTCGACGACGACCAGGATAGCATCATGACTGCGGGGGGTCGGAGGTCGAAGAGGACCGATAAAGTCCATCGAGATGGACTGCCAATAACCCTCAGGGATAGGAAGAGGCTGGAGCAAACCATAAGGTAGGTGGTTCGCACTGTTCACCTCCTGACAGGTGGGACACTCTGCGACGTAGTCCTTCACAAAGTCCTTGCGCTTCGGCCAGACGTACAGGCGGCTCACACGAGCCAACGTCTTGTGGAAGCCCATATGACCGGCGGCTGCCTGGTCATGGAACTCTGCTACTGCTCGGACACGTAGCTGTTCAGTGGAGGGAACGTAAATACGGGGCTCTCTGGTGCCCTGTGAACCGTGCCAGTACACAAGACCGTTGCCCCCGAGAAAGTAGTTCGGGACGGTCTTGCCACTCCGAAGGGTCGCGTGGATGTCGCGATAGTCGGGGCAGTGGCGGTACTGAGTGCGAAACTCGTCGATCACCGAGTGGTGGACGGTGGTGACCGAGATGGAAGAGAGCTGGATGTGCTCCTGGTCGTGGTCACCCTTGATGTGCTCAGTGGTGAAACTAAACTCGGATAGGTCGTGCCACTAGTGAGCCTGTCGAGGAGTGAGCTTCGGTTTTGTCAGAAAAGCCTGGACAACAGAGTTGCCCGTACGCACCGTGAACGGTGCCCCGTGCAGGTAGTGACGCCAGTGCCGAGCGGCATAAACTACTGCGATAACCTCACGTTCATCAGCAGTGTAGTTTATCTCGGCGGGCAGGAGCTGACGGGAGTAGAAGGCTATCGGACAATCACCTGAGCGAGACTCGACAGTGCCGCCCTCGGCGATGGTAGGAGAATAGTCAATAGAAGGCTCGTCAGTAGCTGGACGAGTAGGCGTCAGTCGGGAAGCAGTGGTAGGGGTAGGTGGTGGGAAGCGAGGGATACGAGGATGAGAGGAATCAGGAGATGAGGGGAAGACCTGAGAAAGCACTGCTCCTACAACAAAGTCTGACGCATCAGTGGTAAGGATAAAAGGGCGATCGAAATCGGGTAGGTGAAGAACCGGTGCGCATGTCTCCGCCTTCTTGAGGGCGCGGAAGGCGTCCTCGTGGAGGGGTGTCCAAGCCCAGGGTGGGTTCTTCCGGAGGAGGGTACCTAGCGTATCCCCGGATGAAATTACTATAGTAGCTGGTCAGACCTAGGAAGCTGCGAAGCTGCTTGGCAGATGTGGGGGCGGGCCACTCCGCAATAACAGTGATTTTCGTGTCGTCCATGTGGAGACCCTGGTCAGACACGTAGTGTCATAAGAAATCCATTTTGTGTTGCACAAAGCGACACTTGCTCAGCTTGGCGTAGAAGCCATGTCTGCGCAAGCAGTCAAGGACTTCGCGGAGGTGTCTGAGGTGCTCCTCAAGGGTACGACTATAGACCAGGATATCGTCGAGGTAGACGAGAACGTACTGCTCTAGGATGTCCTTGAAGATGTCATTCATTGCCCTCTGGAAGGTAGCGGGTGTGTCGGTGAGGCCGAATGGCATCACCGTTAACTCGTAGTGGCCGAATCGCGATCGGAACGCGATCTTCGGCTGGTCGGCTGCAGCGACGCGGATCAAATGGTAACCGCTACGAAGATCGATCTTCATAAAGAAGCGGTTGCCTGCTAGGCGGTCGAACAACTCATCGGAACGAGGCATGGGGTAGCTGTTTTTAACCGTGTAGCGGTTGAGACCGCGGTAGTCGATGCAGAGACGAAGAGTTTCATCCGCTTTGCGAGCAAAGAGGACGGGTGCACCCCACGGGGAGTTGCTGGGTTTAATGAAACCCAGTCTCAGGAGCTCATCAAGCTGACGCTTGAGTTCGGTGGCCTCAGGGATCGAGAATCTGTAGGGTGCCTGGTGGTGAACACGATAGTCAGGCACAAGCTGAATGGAGTGCTCGACGTCACGCATCGGTCGGATGTAGGTGTACGAGAACAACGATGGAAAAACGTCGTGGTACTCTCGGATGAGGTCACGAACTGCGGGATCCAGGTCAGCCGTATAACGTGCAAGCTCCTCAGCGTCAGCGTCAGCGCGCGATGGCGGAGTGGACTCGACGGACGGCGGAGGGACGGAAGTAGAGATGGGAGCCATGGAGATAGAAGGAGGATCTGGCTTCAGAGGGATGAGCTCGGCATCGGGACAGGGTGGATCATAGTGTAAGAGATTCGTCACCTCCACCATAAAGAAGGTGACGTCGTCCTGTCGGATGAAGTAGGCAAACTGCCGAGGTGAGGTGACAGTGATGGAAGGACATGGTGTGGGCACGGAAGGCTCCGGGGGAGAAGGATCGGGGCGTGGTGTCGCAGTGGTACCTATGAAAGGTACGCGATACGTCTGTCCACACTTCGTTTTGAGAACGAGAGTGTTGGTCGCCCAATCGGCCTCGGTGTTGCGGAACCGACGAGACTACGGAGTGTCGAGAATGAAGTCGTACCCCGTCTCCATCACATCGAAATGTGCAGAGGAGCGGTGGCGACGAGACCCCGGGGAACGATCAGTCGGCTCGAGAGTGAGGAAGAAAGGGAGGTCGGTGACTGTCTGATCGAAGAAGCGTTGGGTCTTGTCATCCCCTAGGGTAACGGAAATGGGAATTGGAGACCCTGTCGTGGGTAAGCGAGCTTCTTTCACCACGCGTGGGTGAATGAAGTCGCCCTGAGAACCGGAATCCCACAGCGCGGAGTACACCCTCGTGGAGGTCTCGAGTCGTACTGGGATGATCGGGAGGGTGCGATCAGGGTCAGAGAGGATGGCGAGAAGGCGTCGCAGTGCAGCGACATGGAGGGTGAGTCGCTCCTGACGAGCCTGGAGCATGCTCAAGTCCAGAAGAGAGGACACAACGTCCTCGCGAGTAGCGAGCTGCTCGCTGCAACGGGCTGAGCGAATGGCTCGACGCGTCGGTAGTCGCGGCGGGGAAGGAGGGGAGACGGTGGTCTGCGGAGGCGCAGACGGTACTGCGACAGAGGGCTGAGTACAGTCTGTCGAGTCTTGCGATACCTCAACCCCAGTAGCAAGAGGGGCGAACCACGACGGAGATGTCGGAAAACCCACTACTGAGGAGGGCGCAGGTGTACACTGCACCGTGGCTAGGAGGCACTGCGGGGACGTGAGGCGCCGGGGGGGGACTGAGCACGACGCTGACGAGAAAGGTCAGCGTAGTGGCGGTCGAGGGCGGTTAATTAAGGGCACTGCGAGGAGGTATAACCGTCCAAGCGGCAGCGCAAACACCCACGCTGACCCAGAATGGCCGCGCGCTCCTCAGGGGAAAGGACACCACGAGGAGGGACGAAGCCCTGAGGAAGGTCCTCCTGAGGGACCTCGGCGGGCGACGTGCCAGCGTGACCGGGGCGGTTGCATGCCCGAGAGAGGGCGGAGAGCGCGAGCTGAAGGCGCTCAGCTGCAGGGAGGGTAGAGTCCTCCAAGTGATAGTGGACGGCCTCGCAGAGATCGAGGTCGTCGCTGTGGTCGCCCTCAGGTGACAGTGGGGCAACAGCGTCTTGCTCACCATACTCCAGCGCACTGAAGCGGCGCGAGAAGCGCCGGCCCTGCTGAGTGGAACGACGAGGTCGACCGTGGAAAGGGGAACGACGCTGGGAAGTGTCGTGAGAGGAGGAGGAGGCGTAGCCCGTGCGCTGGGGCTGGGAGGAGGAGGCGGGGTGAAGACGGGCTCGCATCTGCTGATGGTCCCTGGCGGCCTCGTAAGCCTGTGGGGCCAATGTGAACTCGTACCTTCCATAGCTCGAAGCGATACTCGAGCGGGAGGCTGGCCAGGAAACGATCGATAAGGGCAGCCTCGGGAAGGAACGCCACGTCACAAACGAGGCGGGCGTCCTGAAAGACCTGGATGTGGTGATCCAGGCCGGCAGCGCCACCAGAGCCGGACCAGCGTGTAGTGACGACACGCTCGAAGGCGCCAGTCACGTCATATCGGATTCCGAAGCGATCCTTGAGGAACGCCTGGAAATCCATGAAGGTCGGAGTCCGACTCTCACGCAGGGAGTAAGCATAGAAATCTTCCCAGGCGTCGAAAGGAGCACCACGCAGGCGCATGGAGAGGTGACCCACCCATGTGTCGGGTGTGGCGCCTATGAGCTGGATCGTGCGGGTGACAGCCTGCAGCCACCTAGACACGCGTATGCCTGTACCGTCATACAAGGGAATGTCCGACAAGCGGATGAGTGGTGTGCCACCGTTTTGGCGGCGAGGGGAACGAGAAGCAGGGGACTGCGCTACGGCGGAATAAGTCGGCGCAGGTCCTGGAGGAGGAGGAGGCGCAGCTGACTGTACGCCCGGGCCGCATGGTGGAGCGGCGGGGGAAGCAGCGGCAGGCTGCACGGGAGCTGCGGTAGAAGAGGTCGCGGCGACCGAGGGGATGGGGAGGAGGTAGGATGGAGATTGGTAGGGTGCAGGGCGAGGGAAGCGAGCCTGCATGGAAGGAAGAATAGAGGAAGAAGGGGGTGCACCGGAAGGCGCGGCCACCTGTGAGGGTGGGGGTGGCTGAAGGCGTGAGAGGGCGAGGTCGGTCCGGAGCCGGGCGATCTCGTCCTTGAGACTTCGAACGTAGATCGAGCGAGGTGTGGCAGGGGGAGACGTATGAGCGGCGCGAGGCATCCCACAAGGGGGAGAGCCAGATGGCGCTGCGGTCATGCGAAGAGGGTGGAGAAGTGGGGCACCCGGAAAAGTTGAGACCATGGTAGCGGGTTGTGGTCCCGTGGCCGTCGTGACCGGAATCTGGGCGGGTGCGCCCGTGGACTGAGGGAGGGCCTGACTCGTGGCGGTCGTCGTGCTAGGTGCGTGGACGGTCACCAAGATGGCCGGGTCGGGGGCAGCGGAGGAGGAAGCTCCACTGTGGCCACCCTGTCGGAAGGCGGGGGACCCAGACTGGGAGCCAGGAGAAGAGATAGGGTGAGGAGAGGAAGGACAACCAGCGTCCTGGAGTTGCCGCACGCCGGCGACAAGGGTCGCCACCTGCGCCTGTAAGGGCGCGAGGGTCGCGAGTTGCGCCTAGATGGGCGCCAGGAAGGAGGTGAGAAGGGTGTGCAGATCCCCCTGGGGCTAATGACCCTGATCCGCCGGCACGGGTGTGGAGCCTGATGCCGTGGTCATCGCCGTATCAACGGTGTGTGACACACCGTCAACCATGGGGAGATGACGGACCGGACTGGAGGGGGTCAGAGGGCGTAGGGGGAAGTCCGCGGTAGAAAGCGACGAATGGCGCTAGCAAGGCTAGAGAGGGCGCCGTCAAAGGGGGAGGGGTGGTTCGGGTCCAGGGTGCCCGAAGAGGACGGGGAAGTAGGGGGGGGGGGGGTGAAGAACCCTAAACCCTACAAAACCCTAAGAAAACCCTAACCGAGGTTTAAGTGGTTAGGGTAGGGTACCGGTGACCTAATTAAGAAAGTAAAAGAGCAAGCATAGGGGGGGGGGGAAGCAGGAGAAAATAAATAAACAGCGAGATTTCGAGAGAAAATAAAAATAAATAAGAAAATAAATAAATAATAAAAATAGTTAAAGAAATAAGTAAAAGGATGAAAAAGAAAAAACAATATTTATTTTTTTGAAATTTTTGGCAGCATTTCCCTACCCCCCACGGGGTCAAGAATGCGCCAAGGGAAAAGGAGAGACAAAGGTGAGCACACTAGAGATGCCGCAAATAAGAAAAAGAAATTTCAGAAAATAAACAAAAAAATAATAAATAAATAAATAAATAAGTAAATAAGTGTGTGAGGAGGTGGAGAGAAATGGGATATCTGATTTTTCAAAAATTTTGGCAGCATTTCGTTACCCCAATGGGGTCGAAGTGTGACGAAAAGTCTAAGTAAGAGAAAATGAGAAAATTTCGGCAGCACTTCGTTAACCCCACGGGGTCAAAATGTGTGCCGAAAGCAAGAAAGACTAACACCTAATCAGATTGAGGGTTGCCGCCAAGAAATTCGAACTTTCAGAATAAATAAAAATAAATCAAAAAATAAGAAAAGAGGGTGGGGAAGAGGATGAGAAAACTAACAACTAATCAAATTTAGGGTTGCCGTAGAGAAAATCGAATTTCCAGAATAAATAGAAAAATAAATGAAATGAATCAGAAAATCAGAAAAGAGGGTGGGAAAGACGAGATTTCGAATTTTTGGAAAAGAGAAAAGATAAATCAAAAGGGAGGTGGAAAGAAGAAAAACAGAAAAAA